GTGCGGTGCGGGGTGGAGGCAGACGGAGTGGGGCGGTGGCGTGCGACGCGAGGAGGAGGCGGACGGAGCGGGGCGGCGGACGAACGGAGAGGAGGCGGACGGAGCAGGGCCGAAGAGGAGGTGGACGGAGCGGGGCTGGGCGGAGGATGGACCGGAGGCGGAGGCAGCCGGAGAGGAGGCGGGCGGGGGCGAGGCAGGGCGGAGGCAGCCGGAGCGGAGGCGAACGCGATAGGGCGGCGCGGCGGCAGGCGACAGCCTAGGCGGGGTGGAATCAATGGAGGGGGTCTGGATCTACGGCGGGACAAGGAAAGTTATCATGTAATTCTTGCAAACTATTTTAAGAGCGCTGGCAACCCAAGCCCACTCTACTAGTTTATTTTATTTCAATCTCGTGACCATCAGCCAAAAGACAGAGAGGGGCTGCTTTCGCTCTCCCGTCATCGTCCCATCCGCCGGCCACAGGGCACTCTTCTACCCCGCCGCCGGCTAGCCGCTTCCGCCTCAGACTCTTCTTGTTATTCAAGTCTCCAAGATCCGACTGGTGAGCAAACATATTCAACCTTCGCTCAAAACCTGCTTCTCCTAATCCATTCCAACTTACCCATCTTCTGTTTCCCACCCAAATCTGTGCAGAGCTCTCCTCAATCGGCAGGGGAAGAGCAAGGCCGGCAGCCATGGAGCTGGTGGTGGGAGCTTCGGAGGCGACGATGAAGTCGGTCATGGGCAAGCTGGGCGGCCTCCTCGCCCAGGAGTACACCCTGATTCGGGGCGTCAACGGCGACCTCCAGTACATCAACGACGAGCTGGCCAGCATGCAGTCCTTCCTCCGGGACCTCACCGCCGGCGGCGCCGGCCGAGCCCAGACCCACGGCCACCGGATGAAGGACTGGATGAAGCAGATCCGCGACATCACCTACGACATCGAGGATTGCATCGACGACTCCGCACACCGCCTCCACGGCCTCCGCTCCGACATGTGCTGCTACTACTTCGCCAACAGCGTCTACGAGGTCCTCACCTGGTGGCCTCGCCGCGACGTCGCCGCCAAGATCTCCGTCCTCAAGATGCGGGCTCAGCAGATCGGCGAGCGGCGGGAGAGGTACGGCGTCAACAACCCGGAGGCCGCCGGCGGATCTGAGGGTTCTCATGCCGGAAACGGCACCGCTGCTGGATTCGACGCCGCCGACAACCAGGAGGCGAGCCTTGAGCTCGTCGCCATAAAGGATCCGGTGGGCGTGGAGGACCACATGAAAGAGCTGGAGGAGTGGCTGACCAACGACAAGAACAGCTCCGGCGTGCTGTATGTTGTCGGGTTCGGAGGGGTGGGGAAGACCACCATTGCGACCGCCCTGTACCGGAAATTTGGGGACCAATTCGACCACCGCGCCATGGTCAACGTGTCTCAGAGCTCCGACATCAACGCTGTCCTCACCAACATCAAGAATCAAGTCATGCCGCAGTCCAGGGGCCAAATGCAGCACGCCGGCGGAGGCGTACTCGGCCGGCTCAAGCGAGGCACCTCGGCATTGGCGGCCAAGTGCTGCAGCGCCGGCGCCTCAGAGGAAACGCGTGGTGAGACGAAGCTGGACCGGCTCAAGAAAGAGCTCACGGGACACTTTGACAACAGCAGGTATCTTGTACACATCGGATCCTTATTGCTTTCTCTGATTAATGCTTAATAATGAGCAGAAATCCTGATTCCTGATTATGCTAATGTCAGTTACAATCTGATAATGATAACATGATGTACTTAATTCGTCTTTTTAGTACCCATGACATAGCAAGTGTATATATCATTTGGAGACATGGATTAGTTCTAGTTATGCGTTTCATTTCATTCATTGCTCACTAGGAAAAATAATTTTTTTGGCCCATGGAATTTGGCCCTCATTTTTTTCATCCTAAATGTTTGAAACTGACAGTTGGCCCTCTGAGGGGATCCTAAAGCTCCCCTATGGGTCCTTTTCTTTTTCCCCTTTTTGCTTGTTGGCTCTGTGTATCCAAGTTGTGCAGAGGCCGGGTGTGTACTCGTTGTGTTTATACCCACTTGATGGGACATTATGAGTCAATAAAGAGTGCACTTTACTGAAAAGAACATACCTTCAGTACCATTACTGTATAGCTTCTTGTTTTATATGAGTCAATAAAGAGTGCACTTTACTGAAAAGAACATACCTTCAGTACCATTACTGTATAGCTTCTTGTTTTAGCTGATGAAATTGATGATCACTTGGTGGGAATCCCTGCCTATGCAATTATGTTTCTTCACAATTTTATTCTGCTCCTTTGCCCACATCATTTGATTCTGATAAAAAAATAGGGATGTAGTACTGTCTTTTAGACATGAATTCTACAACCATTTAGTTCAGATAGAGGAGTTTGTCATTTCTGGTCACTCTCTTTGCTCCGTTTTCTTGAAAACTCAATCTCTGCTCCCACTTTTGGTTTCTTTTCTTGCAGTTACTTGGTCTTGGTTGATGATGTTTGGTCTGCAGCAACTTGGGGCCAGATCAGAAAGTCACTTCCTACAAGTAATAAGCGCACCAGAATAATAGTTACTACACGGTTTCAAGCTGTTGCTAAAACACGCAGAGGGGAAGAAGGTGATCATACTCGTAAAGTTTCCCCTCTTGGTGTTGAAGAATCTGAGAGGCTATTTAAGCAGGCATTCTTTGAATCCAAAGGTAGTGAGGCCTTCTTTGAATCCAAAGGTAGCGAGGTTGATAAGGTTCAAGAGGAAGTTTGGAAGATGTGCGGGGGGCTGCCGTTGGCCATAGTTATCATGGCTGGTCATGTAGCCTGCAACCCAAACAAATCAGCGGCCGAATGGTTGAAGGTCTGCAAATCTCTATTTCCAGAGTCAGGGAAGGATCATGGGAAAGATGGTAGGAGAGACCTTACCCAGGAGGAAGTTGGTAGGATTGTTAGTCATTGCTACAATGACATGCCTGCTGACATCAAGACTTGCTCCCTGTATTTGAGCATATTTCCAAAGGGCCAGAAAATCAGCAGGAAGCGTTTGACAAGGCGATGGATAGCTGAAGCTTTCGTTGCTGAGAAGCAGGGCCTGAGTGTGGAGGACGTTGCAGAGACATATTTCAATCATCTCATAAGAAGGAAGATCATCCGACCAGTGGAGCACAGCAGCAATGGGAAGGTGAAGAAATGCATAGTGCACGACATGGTCCTTGAACACATTGTAGCCAAGGCAAGTGAGGAGAATTTCATCACTGTGATTGGTGGTAACTGGCAGCTACCTAGCAGCAAGGTCCGCCGGCTGTCCCTCCAAGAAAGCGATTCCAAACGTGCAAATGATACAGAGAAGATGAACCTGTCACATGTCCGGTCACTGACCATGTTTGGGAGTTTGAACCAACTGCCTTCCCATTCATTCAAGTTTGGAATTGTACAAGTCCTGGATCTTGAAGGCTGCATGGGTTTCAAAGCGCATCATACAGAGGAGATGTGCAAGATGCTTCTTCTCAAGTATCTCAGCCTCCGAAGAAGTGACACTAAGCAACTTCCAAAATCGATTGGAAAGCTTGAGAACCTTGAGACTCTCGACATTAGAGAGACAAGTGTTGTTGAGTTGCCTAAAACCGTATGCCAGCTTGAACGGCTGGTGAACATACTTGGTGGGGATAAAATAACAAGAAGGGCATTGAAGCTTCCTCAAGAGTTGAATAAGAAGAAGAAAATGAAGGCCTTGCGCATACTGTCAGGGATTGAGATTGTTGGGGGATTGGCGGACCTTCATCATTTGACTGAGCTGAGGAAGCTTGCCATCTACAAGCTCAGCACCATGAGTGACGATCCAAGTTTCAAAGATTTAAGCTCCTCTATCGAGTACCTTGGGGGCTACTCTCTGAACACCCTCATAATTGATGACGAGTCATCCAAGTTTGTCAATTCACTGGATGACCTGTCATCACCACCAAAGTTCCTTGTTGCCCTTGAGTTATCTGGCAAGATGGTTCAGCTCCCCAGCTGGATCACACAACTCAGTGCTCTCACCAAGCTAACCCTTTCAGTAACAGCTCTCCGGACAGATAACCTGCTGCTCCTTAGCAATCTAGATGCACTGTTCTCCCTCACATTCTCATTCAGGGCAGAAAAGCAGGATTCGGAGACACTGACCATTCTGGCAGAAAACAAGCTGTGCTCTGATGGGGAGATCACAATCCCAAATGCTGGTTTTAAGAGCCTTAAGCTTCTTCGCTTCTTTGCTCCTCTCTTGCCAGTACTGACCTTTTCGAAGAATGCCATGCCAGAGCTGGAGAGGCTTGAGCTACGGTTCAGCATGCTGGAGGGGCTTTATGGCGTGGAAAACCTTGCGGGAATCAAGGTGGTGCATCTGACATTGAAGGACAAAGACGGTGAATATATGACGAAAGAGGTGCAGCACGAGGTGGAGACAGCAGTGAAGAGGAAGACCAATGGCAAGGCGCCCAAGATAATCCTCGATCAGTGACCGATTCAAAGTAAGTGCCCAGTTCTTTGCAAGTCTGCAAGTTTGAAGTCATCATATATTCACATTCTTGCCTGTTCTCAGATACTTTCACGCCACGTATGCTGTACTTTCTCGAAGAAGGAAGGATGATACTGTGAAAAGAAGGATGATGCTTCATCCAGGCAGGTACGTTGTATGACAGTTGTGCTGGATGTTATGTTCGTCGTGTTTGTGTGTGTGCGTGCGCTGCAAGTTTGATCGTCAGTTAAAAGGATCATGTAATTCTCTTTGACCGCAAATGTTGCTGTAAATTTCATGCTAGACAATGGCCATGCTTTTGCTTTTATCTGTACTCGTCTCTGGACATCTGACACCAGAATCTCTAAATTGTTCAACATATTGTAATGAAGATGCAGAGAATCCTTGTCCATGGTTTTTGTATTTATTTATTTATTATTTGTAAAGGAGCAGTGGGAGGGAACAAATTTGTAAAGCAGCACAGCAGTGGAAGGGAACAAAAAGTGGGAGCCCAACCGTGGTTCTTTGCAAGCCTGTAAGTTTGCAATCATCGCATTAATTCTTGCCTGTTCCTCAGATATTCTCATGCTACAGCTGCTTTGCTCTCTCGAAGAAGGAAGGACGATACTGTGAAAAGAAGGATGACGTGTCATCCAGGGACGTCGCATGACAGTCGGATTAAATGTTTTATTCGCGACAGTTGTGCTAAATGTCCTGCTCGTCGTGCTGGTATGTGCGTGCGCTAGCTGCAGGTTTGATCATCAGTTAACAAGATGTTGTGTAATTCTCTTTGATGCAGATGCTGTAAAGTTGATGCAAGACAGTGGTCATGCATTTATGTGTGCTCGTCTCTGGACATCTGGTACCAGAAAGTTGCAAACTGTTGAACGTGCTGTAATGGAGATGCAGAGAATTCTTGTCCATGGTTTCTGTATTATTATTTTTTGTTGTAAAAATTCATCATCCGGGCGCCTGACACTGCAAGGTCCATGTATTATTATGTATTATGGTTTCTGTATTATTATTATTTTTGTTGTGATGAAGGTCCATGTCTGCTTCCCGTGCTGTTGGCCGCAGGCTGTTAGATGACACTGCAAGAATCAAATCTGGTGAAGTGATTACTCTATGCAGTGCGGTGTGGCGCTGATCGAGAAAGGAAGCTGCTGCCTGGAGTTGCTGAACAGAGAGCTTGGCTTGGCTTGGCTGGCTGAGGAAGCTGAACCTGGAGGGAGGCTAGTGTCGTGTCGGTCGACCACACCACACCTGGGATAGCAGAAAAGAGAAAGGAGGGGAGAATGAAAAGAATCTACTACAGTAGTACTAGTAGTAGTAGCACTGACATATCCTTCCTCCCACCGTCGTGTACAATGGCCCTGTTTGGATACTCTAACTCAGTTAAAGGTTAGAGTTAGATTCTAACCATAAACTAATCCTGAACTAACTCTAACTAAAGAGGTGTTTGGATGGCAGAAGTTAGATGGAGCGCGGATACGGCGAGGCGCCTTCACGGGCGGTGCGAGAGGGAGGGAAGGAGAGGACAAGAAGTTTCAAAGAAGTGGGGAGGGATCTGCTGCAGGGAGAGCGAGAGAAAAATATGTTTTTTAGAGCAACTCCAACGGGCCGACCCAAACGGACGGCGATTTCGTTCGTTTTTTGTCCGTTTGGGTCGGCCAGATGGACACGGATGCCCGCTTCCGCATTTGGGACGGCGCGTGCGCCCAACGCTGGCCTGAGACCCATTTTGACGGCGCCAGAAAAAATGAACGCATGCATATTAAAAAAGAGAAACAATATTAATTAAACATTAAAGCCGGCCATGAAGACCGGCGAGAGTTCACGCGTCCACATTTATATTAAAAAAAAATAAAACAGACTAAACTACAAGGCGACGTGATGTCTTAGGCGGCAGCGTCCTCGGGGTTCGTGAGGTCGATGAGCGTCGGCGCCGGCTCGGCCCAGGCGAACACCGTGTTCCAAAGCGCCGTC